CATTTAATATCTATCTTTATTTAATTAAATAATAATTTAATTTTTACTAAATTTTTATTGGTGAATTCTAGCACATAAGATATGTGAGAAACATTTGAATATATATATATATATATATATATATATATATATATATATATATATATATACTACCTTATAAAAGAAATCTTACAATTTCTATAAATATAATCAATATAATAATAATAATTTTTTAAGACATTCAAGTCTTTAAGCTTAAAGTACAACCAACTATTAATATAATAATATTATAATATATATCTTACAAATGATAATGCTAGGGATACAATTATTAAAAACACATTTAAATTAGTATTTTCCTTATTTTAAGGGATTAAATTAGTATTTTCATCAATTTTGTACTCCTAAAATATCTTACAAATGACCAAACTTGTACTCCTAAACTATTAATATAATAATATTATAATATATATCTTACAAATGACCAAACTTGTACTCCTAAAATATCTCTTCTCTGGTATCTGATGCATTCAAAATCTGAAACACTTCTTTTCGACAAATCGTTTGAAATTTAAAAGATCATTCAAATTGGAGTTCCCTAATTTTTTTTTTGCATAAAATATAGTTGACTGGAGACTAATTCAAATCTTCATCTCTTTTACCTCTATGGAATCCACCACCACAATATTTTTTGGTTTTGGTATTGCACTTTTTATTTTTGTGAAACCGATCGATAATGGTGCAAGTGTTCTTAGAAATATAACATGTCTCCGAATGGAAGTAATTGCTTGAAAGAAACTATTCACCGCCGCCGCTTTGCGCGGGCAAACGGTTAGTGTGTGTGTGTGTGTGTGTGTATATATAGTCAAAGAGAGAGAGAAAGAAGAAAAAAGGTTCATTCGTAGCCATACAAATTTTGTGATATATGAGGACCTGATCCTAACTATTCAACTTGGAGATAAAAAAAAAATAAAAATAAAAATTGTAAAATGAAAATTAAAAGGAAAATTTCAAAAATTCTTATATATATATATATATATATATATATATATATATAATTATCGATTTTTTAAATATATGTGAAATATTCTAATAAAATATTACATTGTAAATAATCAAATCGAATTTTTAGAATGTTAGAATATATTCTAGTATTCTACTAAAATTGATAGATATATTAAATTAAAATATATTAATATTCTACTAGAATTGTTAGATTTGTTAGTATATTCTAATATTCCATTAGAACTTTTGAATATTTATAGTTTAATATTTTAGTAAAATATTTAACATTATAAAATTTCAATTTGAATAATATTCATTTAGAATATGTCACATATACTTTGAAAAAAAACATTAAATTTTGTTGGATACCATAAATAACGAAAATAATATTTAAAAAATTTCAAAAAAAAGATTTATTTTGTATTTTAAAAATATTTTTTTTATCTCTAAAATAATTGGTTAGGATTGCATCAACATATTTCACAAAATAAAAATATGATGATAAAATAACTAAGTTATAAGTTATACTCATTAAATATTAAATAATGATTCGTTTACTAATTAAAAAATCAATATAAAACATTGTCTTTATCTTAAAACATATGATGAGAAATACGTTTATGAAACGTTACCGTTATCTCAAATTATATTATTGTAATTCACCATAAAATAATTTAAATTCCCATGTTTCAAGAAAAATATTTATCTTGAACTACATAATCTCAATTCCCTAATCCTATAGGTTGTGCGTGAATAAAACAATGTAAATGTTTATTTAATGTTAATTTTAAGTATTATTAAAATTAATTGATTTAAAACTATTAGTTTAGTTATTTTTAGTTCACCTTTCCAAGTACTTATAAGTAGCTAAATTTTTAATTGTATGTAAATATTTGTTAAATATAATTTTTGCTTTTTTAATTGTCATTAATATTAATTAAGTTATAAACTATTGATTTTGGATAATATTCGATTACTATTATATATAGTAAAAAACAATTGATCTATGAATAGTATATTGTTTGGTTTTTGCTTTGGCTACAACAGTTTCATATATTGATTTTTTTTAACAAAAATCCAAATTACTTATAAACTACTGATTAATTACGCATATGTCAACGGCATTACTTGAATCCTCAACCTCAAATAACAAAAGCAATATCTGATAACGTTGGGTTAGAAGCTATTTGGTAACAGATTTGATCAATGTGTACAAAATAAATTATTGAAATTGTCATTGTAATTTATAGAAAATATCCATGTATGTTTTTTTTCACGTTTGAGTTTTAAACTTTGGTCACAATAATAACTTATTTTTTAGTTTTGACTTTCCAAACATTAGTTTTGTATGTTGGCCGATTTGGTCCTATGTAAAAGAGTAAATTACAAAAGATGTCCCTAGATAAATTACAAAAGATGTCCCTGTAGAACTACAAAAGATGTCGGTGTGTTTTTTTTATTATAGAAAATGCTTTTGTGCATTTTTTTTTTGATTTAGACTTTGATTATAATACTTTTGTTGGGATGTTTAGTCAATGTATAGAAAATAAATTACAAAATCTCACACTGTAACTTACAGAAAATATCATTACACATTTTATTTTACAAAAATGTTCAATTTGATTAAATAGTTTACTCTTTGGTCCATGTGTTTAAAAATATTAGAAAAATGGTCTCTGCCTAATAGAAAATGTATAGATTATACCTACGACAAAACAGATATAAGTAGACTTCCGATCTACATCCCCTAAAAAAAAGAGACATTTTCTAGTTATATAAAAATGGTATTTGGATATATGATATTTTAATCTACATTTTATAGTTATATTATATTTATAAAAAATAACTTATTTTTATAAATATTTGGATTTTTTTTTTAGTTTAGCTCCATATATAATCGATAAATTAGATCTATCATATTGGAAGTTGAATACTTGATTTGAAAACTAAATAAATAAAGAAATTTAATATATTTAAATTATTAAATTAACATGATTAAAAATAATTATTTAACTTAAATCATTTTTTGTCAATTCTTATAAGTAATAAGCTAATTGAAAACATTTAACAAAAGAACTTATCGTCTTTTCCGTTTGGGTGATTGATGATTTTTTTTTTCCAGAGCAATAATCCGTTAAAATAATAAAATTGAAATGTAGATATCTTAGACCATCTCTATACATATCCACTACCCTTTCATGGCCACCATGCAAGCCTACAACTATCGTGCACACCACTCCATGTGCATTATGATGGTTGTTGTATAGCCATCGTACTACAACTAATGAGAAAGTTTTGCATGCATTTTAGCTTTGATCAAGCAATGAGAAACTTTTCATTGTTATTATTATTATTATTATATCCAAAAAATGATGTGCGATTATAGGTATACCAAATACATATGATGATTATGTGACGATAAGATGATACTAACATGAAATCTTATCATATTTATTGGAGTGGTAGATATATGACTTTAAATGAAATAAATAAAAACAATTAGAAACTTTATTATATTAGATATAAAGTTTTTAAATTCTATTAGTTTTTTTTTTGGAAGGAAGGTTAACTACCATAAAAAAGACGAAGTCTATTACCTTTTCTAATTTGTCCTTTTTTTTAATAGTTAACAAAAAATGTTTAAAGTTTTTCCTTAGAAAAATGTGAAATCAAAATTTCAAGAGAAAAGTCAAAATAATAATAATAAAGGGAAAATGAGTTATTAAGGCAATTAATTTTTCGTTTTGTTTAGATTTGTGTAAATATCTTATTTATTTATTTTATTATTTTTATTTTTATAATACATATCCAGGTAACAAACTTTTTAAAAGTGTTCACATATGACAATTATGACCGGCTGTAGCATGTTAAATCCAGTCATAATAGTCATATTTGAATACTTCCAAAAAGTTTGTTACCTAGATGTGTACAAAAAAAAAATAGTTATCCAGATGTGAACAAACCGAAAATATAAGAGCAAATTATACAAATGGTCTCTATGGTTTGGGTAATTTGTGTGTTTGGTCCCTAACTTATTTTTTAACTCGGATGATCCCTACTGTTTATTTTTATTGTGTATTTGGTCACTATCTTGCCTCAAAAGACTATCGTGTTATTTTTAATTTATCTTCTTATTTATGTATTTATTTTTTTTATATATTTAAAAAAATTAATAGACCCCACATATCTATATCTCCTCACCCTAAACCTGAAACCATATTTGAAAAATTTAATCTGGGTCTCACCATTCACCGCCCCATCTCTCATCCTCCTCAACTTCTATTCTATTTCCATCTTTAGTGACATCGACGTCTCCATCATCCCTTTTTTCGATCATTCAGTTCCGACGAACCAACACCATAACCCCTTTTCGAAGTACCGAAAAAAGAAGGGATTGTGAAGACGTTGATGCCACTAAAGATGGAAAAGAAATAGAAGTTGAGTAGGATGAGAGATAGGATGGTGACTGGTGGAGCCCAACTTAAATTTCTCAAATGTGGTTTCAGGTTTAAGGTAAAGAGATACATATATGTTGGGTCTATTAATTTTATTAACATATATAAAAAACAAATACATAAATAAGAAAAAAATTTTAAAAAAATTAATTAAAAAAAAAATTAAAAATCGCACAATAGTCTTTTGAGGTAAGACAGAAACAATCGTACAATAAATTAATGACCAAACATATAAATTACCCAAACCATAGGGACCATTCATGTAATTTACTATTACATTTTCGGTTTGTTTACATCTTGGTAACTATGTTTATATATGACAATTATGACCGGATATAACCTGCTACAGCCGATCACAATTTCAAAAAGTTTGTTATTTAAATATATATAAAAAAAAGATAGTTGTTAGACGTGAACAAATTGAAAAAATTAAATTTAATTTTAAATAATAAATAATAATATAAAAACAAAAAGTTAGATTTCGGGCCCACATCTCTTCTTTCCTTTTCTACTAAACTACAAGAGTTCTTTGCATTTCTAAACACTGATAAGAACCTGACACCATTTTCAACCCCACCATGTAAAATTATAAATTTACACACAGCCACACAGGCACGCCTTATTGAGAGAAAAAGCTGTTTCCGAGTACAAAATCCGTATCGAGAAAATGCCAACTATAGGTAGTTTGTCTGGCATGGAGATAACCGGCACCGGCGTTGAAGGTAGTTTTGCTGGTGTTGGTTGGGATCGCCGTCGTAGAGGTCGTCGCTCCAACCGCCGGTGTCGCATCCCAATTGAAATTACAAACGAAGCTTCCTTCAACGACTACATTAGCAGCCTGTCATTCACCGTGGGGTACTCTTGCGGAATCCATTCGTACAATCACACCCCTAGTATACCCATTTCAGAAGAAGTTGATTTGGAGAGTGGTGAATTGGTTTTCTCTGAAAATGATGGAAAACAATGCCGAATTTGTCATCTGAAGTTCGAAGGTGGCGATGATGAAGAGATGGGGGAGGATAACGGCGAGGCTTTGGAATTGGGGTGTGATTGCAAAGGCGATCTGGCTACTGCTCACAAAAAATGTGCACTGACATGGTTTCTGATCAAACAAGACTTGTGAGCTTTCAGATCTTTCTATCTTCCTTTCTTAGTAAATTCAGTGTTTTTCTGTTGTGTTCTTTCAGGAATTTTATGGTGTCTGATTCATGTGTGCATGTGGCTAAAGCATGGGCTCTTCGAGATTCTATCATATGTGTTATTGATTTGCTATTAAGACTTGTACGGTACAACTACCTCTGCAGTTAAGATTGTGCCGTACAAGCACATGACTGAACTTTGAGTTTTCCGGTTAAATCTTCAATGTTTTTCATCATATTTTGCATTTGATTTCAAGATTTTCTTTGGACATTATTTTAGTATATACGTCTAACTCAAAAATCTTGAAATTAAATAAACCGTTTGACCACAAATGGTCAAAACCAATTTTTTGGCGAAGTAAAATTTGAGACAAAAACTGTTACAAAATGAAGTCTAAATGCGGCTTTTCTTCATCTTTCAATCTGACATAGACTTACGTTTAAATATATATGATTCAGGAAATGCGAAATCTGTGGGTCTATAGTGCACAATGTTGGTGCCTTGGTGCAGAATGTTGATTATGAGGCGATAGTGCAGGTAGGGAACAATGGTGAGGATGAAGTTCAGCCTCCCGAATCATTAGCCTCAGTCGTTGATGCTGAAAATGGAAGTTCTACTTCTATGTATGGACGAAGGATTGTGAATGTGATGCTAGGTTGCATGACTTTCGGCTTTGTAATCTCCTGGCTCTTTCACTTCAACGTGTTGCATTGAATTCAGCTTCTTGGATCAACCCAGAATAATTGTGTAGTAGTTGATCAGAGGGAATTGCGTTGCGTTGCTTTCTTTGAAGTTTTCTAATCGTTAAAAAATGATGTTTGGATTGTGGTTTTATTAGGCGATGTGAGGATGAGACGCTGACGTGATTTATACAAATAATATATAATATATAGTTAAAAAATGAGTTTTTAGCCACATCTTTACGAACTTTTTTTTAATGTTCTGTTATTTTGCCAAATACTAAAAAGTATTTATAATGTTTTGATATCTAATCTAAACATTTAAAAAAACATCATACCATTATAAGCTAATAATTAAAAAAAATGTTTTATCAGTTAACATAAGCATTTTCAAACACCATTTTAACATGCTAGCTGGAAACTAATTTTCCCAAGTATCATAAAAATTTGTAAAAGCCACCCTAGTAATGCAATTGGTACCTATTACATACAAAACTTTTATATATATATATATATATATATATATATATATATATATATATATATATATATATATATATATATATATATATATATATATATATATATATATATATTGCATAATAATTATTAAAAAAAATTATGGTTTTTTATATTATTGAAATTTGTAGAAGATACATTGAAATCAATAAATATCTATAATCGTTGAAGGACATTTTTATAGACAACACTTTTTATTTTAATAGTTGAATGATATTTTTCATCATATATGAGTACCTTCAAAATCATAAATAATTACATTATTATAATTTGACGAAAGGCCGATAGGTAAAACATTAAAGATAGAACGATTAGATTTTTTTTAAGAAGATGAATCATCACTTGAATACATAACTTTATTTTAGTGTTACTGTTGCTTATAAAATTTAAATATTAATATATAACATATTGGTAAATTTTATTATTTATTATGATGAAAGTAATAATTATAATGTGGACAAATTATCTAAGAAATAAATGTTTGAAATATTTTGGAGGCAAAAAATCAGTATCACTAAAAAAATTTATATAAGGAGAATAAAAATTTAGATTGAGTGAAATTATGGATGAAATTACATGACAAATATTATTTTGGAGGGAATTGTATTTTGTAAGGTATAATACTATGATAAAATTCGAAATATGTATATTTGTTGTGAAAATTTATAAATTCTATTGTTACTATATAAAGATAAAACAAAGTAGATTGGCATGTTTAATAAAAAAAAATAATCACTTTGTTTTAGTGTTAATGCTATATATATATATATATATATATATATATATATATATATATATATATATATATATATGGGAAAAATGAATATACCCTTAAGGGTATATAAGCTTAAGTACCCAAACTCACTATACTACATCGTTTTGTATCATATATATACATTGTAATTGTCCAATGTTCTTATAATTCAACTTCTAACTTGATTTACTTTCAAGATTTTTATCAATTTCACATTTATATTTCTCTTACATAATTTTCATTTTCAACTATAATATATATAGCCTAGTAAGTGTTCGGCAAAAAGATATGATGTAAGAGGAAGATAATAATGAAATTTCATTTGAAAGTAAATCAAGTCAAGGGTTGAAGTTTAAGAACATTATAATAAATATATTAAACAAAATGACGTATTATAATGAGTTTGGGTACTTAAGCTTATATACCCTTAAGAGTATATTCACTTTTCCATATATATATATATATATATATATATATATATATATATATATATATATATATATATATATATATAGGTAAATTTTATTATTTTATATGAGGAGAGTAATAATTATAATTAGACAATATTATCTAAAAATAAATGCTTGAAACATTTTTGGAGGGAAAAATCGTGATCATTAAAAAAATTATATATGAGAAATACAAATTTAAATTGGGAAAAGTTATGGATGAAATTAATGATAATTAAATTGGTAGCTTACGATTAAATCCGGTTTTGAAAAGTTTAAATTTGATAAAGGAAACACGTAAGTTATCAAAATATTTTTTTATGGATATAAGGAAAATATAAATTTAAATTTGATAAAGAAACGTGTAAGAAATAAATGCTTGAAATATTTTTGGAGGGAAAAAATCAGGATCATTAAAAATTTTATATAAGGAAAATACAAATTTAAATTGGGTGAAATTATAAATAAATTAATGACGATTAAATTGGTAGGTTACGATTGGAATCCAATTTTAGAAAATTTAAATTTGATAAAGAAAACGCGTAACTCATCAAAATATAAAATTTTAAATACGGGGGAACATATAAAAAATACATTTAAAGTTATAAAAATTCGACACAATAAAATAAAAAAGTTAAAGCAGCATAAAAGAATATATCATAATAAATACGAATTATTTTTTACATGTCATTTTCTCATTCATTTTGTCGTATGATAATATTTGGTATTTGTGAATTAATTATTTTCCACTTATCATTATTATACGTTATTCAATTATTTAAAAATATTATTTAATTATATTGTTATATAAGCATAAACATTCTAATTAAACGTTCATTCAATGATAAGATTACTTAATTTAAACCAATATTGACCGGTATTTCATTTATTCAAATACAGTCATAGGGTTTTCCATGATCGAGAAATTAGGGATGAGCATCGGAATCGAGTACTCGCTTTTGGAACCGGAACCGCCTCGGAACTGCTGGTTTTGGTTCCTAAAGTTATGGAACCGCCTTAAGCGGTTCCGGTTCCAGTCCTCGTTTTTTCGGAACCGTCGCTACCTGCTGGATACCCGCCGGAACCGGTTTATATATATATATATATATATATATATATATATATATATATATATATATATATATATATATATATATATATATATATAATTTCGTATAAATGTGTGTTACTTAGAGCGGTTTAGAATATATTGGTCTGATTTTGTCCGTCTTTGGTCCAAATTGATTTGATTTGGATCGAACTAAATTGCGGTTTTGTCGAAAAAAGTTAACAAAATTTATGCGACCGGGTTATCCGCTCCCAGAACCGGAACCGCCGGTTCCGGGACTGGTTCCAAACATTTAAGAACTGCCTAGAGCGGTTCCGGTTCCAATTCTAACTTTCTAGGAACCGCCGGTTCCGGTTTCGGTTCCGGTTCATGGCGGGTACCCGCCTATGCTCATCCCTACAAGATATGACATTTCAAAGACAGGAACATATTAGGAAAAAAATATTGAAATAAGAATTTTGGCTTTTTAAATAAAAAACCACATATACACATTAATGTTAACTAAATATGTTAAAAACAAAATAGAAATTATAATGCACTTTGTATCCACTGAACACAGTTACAACTACTCAAAAGAAATTTAGAAATTGTAATTCAAAATATTATAGATTAAAGGCAAAATACATTGTTATTAACTAAATCTTTTAAAAACCAAGAATTATGGATAAATGTGTCAAACTAATAACAATATAATATTGATAACTAAAAACACTGAAGGGTAAATTGTAGTTTTCAATCATCAACTACCGTGCAATCCAAACAATCTTAGAAAATTTTAATGAAGACACACATACATATATACACTTAATCAAAAGTCATTGTGTTTTTCCCATGGACATTTTATGAAACATGTAGAGTGCAGCATCAAATGCAATGTTAAAAGACAAAAGTAAAAGATTGAAAAACTAATACTAACATTTATAATAAAGTTATTAATGCATTCAAAGATCACAGTCAACTACAACACTAATGAGAATCAAAAAATCGAATACAATTAATAAAAATTAAGAACGTCATATTAAAGAAGGAACCCTGATGATGAACATGATGCTGCAAAGGGATTCGGACACACCCTCGGGGGTGTCTGGACTCAAACCGTGGGGCTAAAGGATTTTTTTCTAAAGAAATGGTTTTCTAAACCTAAGAAAAAGAGTTTGAGAAACAACAATGTGTGTGATGCGGGCGACTGGCCGAGCTCAAGTAAGTTTTCCCCAAGATACCCATACTTGTTATGTTATGTTATATGATATATGACCCTAAGAATTGCATGCTAGATTAGGGCTGAGGATTTAGGAAGGATGCCTTATATGCATGTTGTATAAGCTTCATGCTAGGACTACCTAGTCAGCAATAGGATGGCCTGGTTAGGTAATGCTTGATATGGTTACTCGATGCACGAATGTTGCTTGCTTTGTGCTATAAGGGTCCTGGCTAACTTCAACTAACTAGTGAGATGATATCTAACAGTATCTGCAAGCTAGTTAGGGGAGGATGGTAAGGACTCCTGGTGCAGCTGATGGCGGATAGTAGGTCGGAGAGTGCCCTAGGAAAGCCTAGGATCAGCATAGTTGGAAAGGGATATTGGTTAAGGGACTTGGTGAATTCGAAGCAATCCTTGAGGAAAGTACGAATAGATGTGGAAGGTAGTATGGGCTCGTACTACTGAAAGCAGAGGATCCGTACTCGAGTCAAGGAGGGCCGAGATGGAACCAGGAATCTTGGGTAATGTGTGAGACCTCTCGGGGAATGTTTTGTTCCTAACATTTATGTGTTTATTTTCAGTATGGTGACCACACGACATGGAGCAGGAGGCTCAGGATCTGGGTCAGGATCGGGATCGGGCTTGGGCGTTGGATCCGAGCAGGTTGATGATGGGATACACGAGTTCATCGCATCTGAGATTACGAGAGGCATCCTTGAGGCGACCCCGATCATCTTCGGGTCGATCAAGGAGGGGATCATTGAGCTGATGGAGGATCGCCTCCGGGCATTTAGGAGTGATTTAGTGTCTGGCTAGGCGAGTACGTGCACACTGTCCTTCAAGGACTTCAGAAGGAGTGGTGCGCCGGATTTTCACGGGGTGAATGTAACAACCCGAAATTTTCATTCGTGCAAACCCTAAGGTCAAGCACATCAATTAAAAGTTAAATACTTTTCTGCTATTTTTTAGCCCGTTTAAAGTCCGTTTGAGTATTTTATTAATTATTCATGAAACGAACGGATAAAAGGAAGTAATTTCTAGA